GGCTCTCTGCTGTCCCTCAGAATTTCTTATCAGAGGCTAGGAGAGGAATAAGTAGAACTTACAGTGCTGAGGGCTCCTATTCAGGATGCCAGCCAACAGTTTCTTCCTACAAATGGCAATGTAAGAGGATTGTATGGTGCTCCCACAGAGCTCCAGCTGACATGAGTTGGAATTCCTTTACCTTACTGTTCGGCAAATGTTTGATACATGGCTGCTTCCAGCAGAGACTTTTGTTGCTCATTGCCTTGCCTCATTCACAAGTTGTCCAGAGGCAGTGTCTTCCACTTGTAATCTCCTTGTGTTTCACAGCCACTTCTTTCATCACTCCAGAAGAAAAAATATATTAGGTGAAGGACACCATCCAGATTGACCTGGAGATGGGCAAGGCAGTAACTGTAAAATCCCTTTTGAGAGGCAGAAAGAACGAGGGACCATCTGTCTGGAAGGATGCTTAGAATGAATCATCTTGTCCCCTGCATAGGTTTAGTGCAGGATAGACACGACTACAAGAATCATCAAGTTCCTACTAAAACACTGAATTTCTTACATAGAAATCTATCTGGAGCTTTCAATTGCTACTCCAAAAATGGACATTATTTAATTATTTCTGTGTTCAACACAATCCAAAACTTCCTCTTGTGATATGCATTGCATTTTATGCAATGCATATCACAAGAGGAAAGTCACTGACCTGTGATCTTTGGATGTGTACAGCTGAAAACATTTTGGATCTTTCTAATTTCTGTTTTCTGCTCCATTTATAAAGTGCAATTGACAGACCTTGTGGGATCAGAGATTACAGCATACCTGTTGTTGTGCTTTTCTGGTTTGTCTAATACTTGAAGCAATTAGTTGCTAGGACACAGAAGGAAATGACACAGTTTCTGCTGTTAAGTGTGTGAACAGTGGGAAGGGTGTTGCAAGACATGGGGTAGTTAGATTACTTGTATCAGATATTGCATACATTGATGCCACTACGGTAGTGCTTTGCTAAATTGTGTATGTATCTTTCTGCAAATGCATTTACAGGCAAGCTTAAGAGCCAGCATTTGGTATGGGTAACACTCACAAGTGTTTTTTAGAGTATCTATTTTAATTGTATTTTAATGGGTTGAGAGCCTAGTGTGCTTTGGTTTACTGAAGGGTATTCCTTTACCTGGAAGGAAAACGTGATAGTAGGCTGCAGTTCTCCAGAGGTTCCTGCACTGCAGCTCCCAGCACTTCTCGCCATTGGGTACGCTGTCTAAGACTCATGGGAGTTGCAGTTCATCAACCTCTGGAGGGCTGCTCTTTCCCCACCCTGGCTTTAATCTGAAGGTTGAGAACAACTTCTGAGCATGGATCAGATTCTCTCTGGGTGTCTGACGACATCCATTGGGCTCCCAGTCAAAGTTTTTCACCTCGCAGACTTGGTTTATTTCTCCTGTCCCTTCCCTGTGCAGGGGAAAGCAGGGGCTTCAGGGCATCTCAGCCAGTGCTTGCAAACAACCAGTGAGTTCCAGATATGGACAGCAAGCACTTTGCAAGCATTGTCTGAATGTTGCACCTTTGTTCTTCCTTTCATTTCTCTGCATGTTTGGAGTAAGGGAGGAGCTAAGGGATTTCAGCCAGTACTTGGCAAATATTATATAATCCCTAATATAAAGAAGAGAAGACTCCCTGCAAAAGACCCTGATGTTGGGAAGTGTGAAGGCAAGAGGAGAAGGGGACGACAGAGGACGAGATGGATAGACAGTGTCACTGAAGCTTCCAACATGAATTTGACCAAACTCTGGGAGGCAGTGGAAGACAGGAGGGCCTGGTGTGCTCTGGTCCATGGGGTCACAAAGAGTCGGACATGACTTAATGACGAAACAACAACAATATAAAGCGAATCTAGCAAATAAAGATAAACTGGTGGTTTGGGGTTTTCCTTTATTCTACTACCATATGTGTTTATCTAGCTGATGGGATGTGGCAGACAAGTAATCTTTTTCAAAAATCTTAGGCTGGGCTACTATGTGGTGGGCTTTTTCCTTTCTCAGTACTCAAACTGTGGTTTTTGTGGCTATCAACAAATATACACGGGCTTTTCCTATGTAGATGATGTGAATTCTGTTCAGTAAATAATCTAAAGTCTGAAAGAAACAGAAATATTTCTGTGAAGATTCTCAGCCATCCAGATGTGGTTATCTGGAAGCTGAGTCATGGCAACTGGACTTCTTTCTCGTTAGGTTGAAATGTTTAGGATGAGTAGCGAAACATTTTAACCTGACAAGAAAGAAGTACAGTTGCCACGA